CCAGGGCCATTCCTCTGACTCCCCCTCGGTAGGTACTCTCACTCCGTCTCCACCAGGGGCACCAGCTCTGACATCCTCCCCTGCTTGTCCAAAGTGCACTGGCCAGGAAGAAACAGAGCTGGGATTCGACCCTAGCACTGCCCCACTCCAAAGCCCAGGCTCCACCTTAACCCTCCATCTGCATTTTCTGAGCTCTGCCCAGTAGCGGGACCACGGAGAGCTGCACACAGACAGCCAGGCACACCCACAGCGGGGGCCTGGGCACAGGGGGCGCTGTGCTCAACAGGCTCTAACAGGCCTCCACCCTTACCGTGCACGTTAGCAAATTAAAGGCTGTGGCAGGCCAGCTGGTGGTGTGGTGGTGGAGACAGCTAGATCCCACATGGCCGGCTGCGCGGTTCAAGTTCCGGACCCAGCAGCTTGAGAAACGTGCTTGGTGCATGCATGCCAGAACCACAGCCCAAAATGCCAAAAGGAGGCAGAGATGGAGAAGAGACTGCAGTAGAACCAGCTCCTGATGGGGGGTGCTTCCTCTCTCTCTCTCTTTCTCTCACTGTCTCTCCAGTGAGCACACACACCCTCTGGCAAAAAGAAGGAAGGAAAGAAGGAAGGAAGGAAGGAAGGGCTCGCTCTGGCAAGTCCTGCAGGAAAGAAACGCTGAAGTAAACACAGCCATACAGTTCCCCATCTTAAAGAGTGGTTTTTTTTAAAGAATTATTTTATTAAAGTTTATTTTTATTTATTTATTTTAATTTGACCAGACAGGGACAGAGTGAGAGTGAGAGAGAAGGAGGGGGGAGTGAGAAAGCAAGCCACCAGGTCCAGGACTCGAACCACGGTTGGCCATGTGGGGAGTCCAGTGCCCTTAACCACCATGCCACCTGCTAGCCCCCATTTCCCTATCTTTTTGGTTCACAAGACTCTGCATTGAATCCCATTTTGGGAAATGCTGATGTAGAGGCTTCTAGACCCAGCTCAGATCTCTTCCCCCAAGAAGCCTCTCCTTATCCAACAGCCTGGGGAGCTTCCTCAGGCTGGAGACCCTGGTCCCCCACCTCTGCTTGGCCCTGGGTTGGGCTAGACGGGCATGTGTTGGGGACTAGCCTTGGGGTTGCCCTCCCTCCTCGGGTAGAGATGAAGGAGGGTCACAGGAGAGGCCTGAGGGAACAGATCCTGACTCAGCTGTGCCCGCGGGCTCACCAGCCGTCACTGCGGGCATGTGCAGCTCAGGGGAAGCACCTGCCCTGGGGAAAAGTGAGTTCCTGATGCCAAGCGGAAAACCGCCCCTGCTGTGTTTCCTGCCTCTCCAGACAGTGCAGACGAGTGGCTTTCCTGTCTCAGTTTCCCCATCTTCCACAGGCAAGTCAGTGCAGAGAACAGAGACTTGGGGTGAACGTTGGGAGACCTGAAGGTCAGCGCCAGCTCAACCTCCTCACTGGCTGTGCAATTTGGGCAATCCTTCACCCTCTCTGGGCCTGACGCCTCCAGGGGCAGGAAAGAGTTCCCGGTTCTCCGAGGCTCCCTGGCACTCAGACCAGCAGGGAAGCTAGCTACAGAGTGGTGAGTCGGGGAGACTCTGCCACCTAGAATCCAGCAGGCCACCGCAGGGCCCAGCAGGGCATCGCTGCTCAGTCCAGCTCTGCCGTCCCAACGGCAAGCCCACAGCCACCGCCCGGCCCAGAGGCCCCCAATTTGGCTGCCACGGCACCAGCTGCCAGAGTACCCAGCCCTGAGCCTCAGTGCTGAGATCTCCCACTGCCCAAGGTTTCCTGCTCCAGACCAAGGCAGATGCCAGTTCCCTGGCCCAAGAGGCCAGGCTGAGAGCCCAGAAGAGCCTGGAAGAGCCCTTCTGCAGGGGAAGCAGCCCCTCAAACCACAGCCCTGGCTTCCGGAAATGCACCCGCCTAGGGCTGAGGAGGCCCTCCCCACAGCTGTCCCCCAGAGCAAAAGTCCCCATTTCTGGTCACTCGCTCCCTCCTTCCACAAACTCGTACCTCCAGAGCCAGGCTCCAGGGAGGGGGCCGGAAGTCGCCGCGATGGCGTCTCAGTCCTCTGCAGCCCCGTGCTCCCCCAACGCAGGCCTTCCCTCAGGATGACCCACCAGGTCTCCCCACACCTGTCCGGAACCCCAGTAATGCCAAGACCAGTCCCAGCTCACCCCCTGGCCAAAATTTCTCCGAATCTTCCCGGGGTCTGTTCATGGCTGCATGAATTGGCTTTTTTCGGTTCCCCAAACAAGCCCCACCCTTTCAGCTCCAGGATCTGGCAGCCTAAAAATGGTGCCGCTTCCCACCCCCACCCTCCATCTACCTACACCCCTGCCCACCCTCAGAGCCGCCTCCTCCAAGCAGGTTGCCTAGTGTCCTCCCAGCCCAGCCCCCTCGGCCTGTCACTGCTGGTTGCGTCCATGGTGCCTCCCCTAAGGCGGAGACATTAGCATGCACTGTCACCTTCCAGGACCCAGCACTGCCTGGCACACAAGGGACACTCAAACTAGCAGTCACTCCCAACTGGCCATCAGGAGCTGGGCTCCAAGCCTGGCACCCCAGACCCATGTGCCTGAACTCTGTCTCTCAAAACTCAGTTTCTCACCTGGGCGATGGGGGTGAATCCCCTGCCCCATCCAGGGCTTATGCTGGCAGTGAAAGGCCTCACAGCTACCACGCCTCCTCGTACGTCCATAAACAGTACACACACAGAAGGGGCCCACCCAGCTCAGGGACGCATGCTCCAGCTCGGGGCCCCCAGACCTCCAATGCAACAGGTGCCCCCAGGCTCCTGCCCCACAGCAGGGACAGGGCGAGCCGCTGAGGCTCCAACAGCGAGACAGACACGGGGCCCTCATGGAACTCCTGCTAGGTAAAGAGACTCAGGTGTGACAAATGGTTTTAGGAACCAGCAGTTGGCATGATGGCTATGTCACTGGACTCCCATGTAGCTGACCACAGTTCGAGTCCCGGACTGGGTAGCTTAAACTCACGCTGGGTGCGTGTGCGTGCGTGTTCAAGATTCCGAGAGGAGAATGGAGGAGAAGGAACTGCGGTGTGGCCATTCCCCCTGTGTGTGTGTGTGTGGGGGGGGGGGGATTTCTAGCTTTCTAGCTTTCTGTCTGTCTCTCTAGCTTTCTGTCTGTACACAAAAACCTATAACAAAACCTCTCCAAAAAAAAAGAAAAAGAAAAAAACAAAACAGAAAGACATGCCAGGGTAGGTAGGGGTGCAGCCTCAGACTAGCAGCAGGCAGGCAGGAAAGCCTATTGGTCAACACAGTACAGGCTCTGGGGCCCCACAGCACAGTGCGAATTCCAGCTCTCCCTGGGAGGTGCTGTGCGGTCCTGGGCACGTTCATAACCTTCCTGGGTCTCGCCAACAGGACAGGTTGGTAAAAGTACCTACGAGTACATTATTCGGGTCACATCAGCCAGAGCCAAACATGAAGAGACAGCAGCCTGAGGAATCCTGACACAAACAGGCCCCGGGGACACACTTCAAGTTCTCGGGGTCTCTGTCTCACTTCCCGCCAACCCCCAGAGCACAGTCTTTCCTTCCCTGCTTCCCTGCCCAGGAAGCTGGGCCTCACAGAGAGATGCAGACCTGCTGGTCCTGCCTGGCTCCAGGGCACCCCACCCCAGGGAACGGAGCAGTGGCTCCAAGGAGTCTGGGTGTTTTAAAGCAGGCCACCTCCCCTCAACCCAGGCTCCCCATTAAAGCAGCACCTCGAACTGACTTCAAAGGGCTCCTGCTCCCCAGCCAGACGGGATCCTTGGGAGACAGGTGTGGGAGGCTGGGAGCTGGGATGGGCAGACACCCAGGGGTAGGTCCCAGCCCAGCCCAGCCCCAGCCCACCCAGGCAGGGAGCTACGCAGGGGGCAGAGCCCTCCCCCTACTACAGAGGTGGGAGACCAAGGCCTGGAGCAGGAGGGAACGGCCGAGAGTGGCCCATAAGAGGAGCCTTAAATCCACATGCCTCTCACTGAGACCAGAAGAAACATCTGGAAATGGGGAAGGGGCGATGACCCTTGTGACTCCAGCAGGAACATGCACACTAGCCTCAAGGCTGTGGAGTGCTCTGGGCCTCAGTTTCCCCACCCGCACCCCAGGATCCTGGACCTCTCCCCGCCCAGTCAGTGACTCCAGGAACTTTCCATTTAAGCCAGCTGTGCCTGAGGCAGAGAGACCTAGTCCCTCCAGCAAGGGCGGCCAAGCAGGCTGGCCAGTCATGGGGCAGGGAAGGCCCCCTGAAGGGGGCAAGAAGGAAGATGAAAAGGCCTTTGAACAAGGTTCTCTGGGCCCCATGTGGCAAGGGGTGGCACCACCCGTTGCATGTACGCCCTGCCTCCTGGGCCTCAACTCCCAGATGGGATTTGAACTCCTCCCTGGGACAGGCAGGTGTCTCAGGGTCACAGTCACTCCTGCCGCTCACTGCTGGCTGGGTCCTGATGCCCAGGCTGAGAACTAGGGTAAGTGCAACAAAGATGCTCCCCTGTTCCCCCAGGCCTAGTTGCAAGATAATTCCTTCTAGGGCTCAACTATGGTGGGGGAGACGGGAGGACAGAGGCATAAAGGGAGGATCGAGTGAGGAGGGTACTCCTGGCCCCTACAATGGCAATAATGGGGCTCAATGCAGAGCCAAAGGGGTGGGGAATACTGCCAGGAGAACCGGGGAACACAAGCCAAGAGGGAGGTAAGAACTGGGGCAAACACACCAGGCTGAGGGAGCTGCAGGGGCAAAGGTGGGAGAGGGCCGGAGAGAGGCAGGCCACCCTGGTGAGCAAGTCGGGGGCTGCCCGGAATGGACAAGGGGGGCCAAGAGGCCTGGAAGACCTCAGAAGCCAGGAGAAGGGGTTTAAGCTCACAATGGACAAGGAGAAACTGACCAGGCAGGTGCAGCAGAGAAAGCCAGATCCTGCATAGCCAACTGGGGTTCAAGTCCCGGCACAGGCATCTTGAAAAATACAAGACCCAAGAGCATGTGCCCAAGATCCTGACAGGATGGGGAAGTGGAGGGAAAAGAACTGAGGCAGGACCAGGTCCCAGTAAGGGGTGCTTTCTGTGCATGTCTGTCCCTTCCCCACGCCCTCTCTGCTTGTGTACAGCAGATGGTGTAAAGGTTACGTCACTGCACTCCCACATAGTCAACCACAGTTCGAGTCCCAGACCCAGTGATTTAAAACTCATACCAGGCATGTGTGCATACATGCCCAAAATCCCAAAAGGAGAATAGAGAAGGGATTGTGGTGTGACCATACCCGGGGGGAGGGGGGGAAATGATTGCTTGCTTTTTGTCTCTCTGGCAAGCGCATGTGCCCTGTAGCAAAAATATCTTTTTTTTTTTTAGAGGTTTTTGCTATAGGGCGTGTGCACTCGCCAGACAGAGAGAGAGAGAGACATAGAGACAGAAAGTAAGAAATCACCCCCCAGGGGAGATGGCCATGCTGCAATCCCTTCTCCTCCATTCTCCTCTCAGGATCTTGGGCACGCACACACATGCGCCCGGCGTGAGGGTCCAGGACTCGAACTGCGGTCGACTACATGGGAGTTCAGCAACATAGCCATTATGCTAACTGCTGGTCCCTTTTCTTTCTTTCTTTCTTTTTTTTTTTTTTTTTTTTTTTTTTTTTTTTTTCAAAAGTATCTCTTAACAATAGCTAGAGGATAGCAGCTGGTGGCAGGAAGGTACCACCCCAGGTGTCTCAGGGAGAAAAGCCACCAAAGAACCGAGTTTTGGTCCAAAGCCTCCCCTATTCCATCCCATCCCAAACTTTCTAGAATGGCTTCCAGGTGAGGGCAGGGAATGGAGGGTGCTTCAGCTAAGCAGGTGAACAGCAGGGTTTGGCAAGGCCCCAGCTGCGATGTGGCTGGTTATGAAATCCGTGGGCAGTGGGTCTCCTTTGTTTAGCCACACCACCCTCCTTAGTGGCTGGGAGAAGAGGGTGCTGGCAGATCGCCCCGGTCATTGCTCCACTACCTGGCAAGCTGAGCTTCCGCGTCTCCGATGACCAACCCTCCTTCATGCACCTAACCCTCCCAGGACCCACCTGGGTACTGCATCAGCTCCATTTTACAGATAAGGAAACAGGGCCAGAGAGTCAACTGGTTAGCCACTGAATGCAGGCTTCCAGGAGGCCCCTCAGTCCCACCCTGCACCTCCTCCCTTCCAGGTTCTCCCAGTCACATCCACCTCCCACTCAAGTCAGGGCAGGGCAGAGGATCGCCTCATGGCACCAATGGTGACACTGCCACTCCGGTGGCTGCTCCTCCGAGCCAGGCATAGTCTGTGCACCAGCAACCCCACTTCACAGGTGCCAAAGACGGGCTCGACCCCTGCTCACCTAACATGCCGCTGGAAGAAGGCTGAGTGGGGCTTGAACCTAGGTTGTCAGAGCTCTGCCTGGAGGCAGGGGGCTGGATCTTGTGACCTCCAAAAGACTTCTGCTTCTCTGGCTGGACTTTGGCTATGGTCTTGTTCACTGGTCTGAACTAACTCTAGCTCTTGGCTACACAGGTTTTATTTATTTATTTGTTTGTTTATTTGTTTTATTTATTTTTGGAGAGATTTTTGCTATAGGGCGGGTGCACTCGCCAGAAAGACAGAGAGAGACAGAGAGACAGAAAGCGAGAAATCACTCCCCAGGAGGGATGCTCACACCTCAATCCCGCCATTCTCCTCTCAGGATCTTGGGCACACACACACATGTGCCTGGCGTGAGTTTAAGCCACCGGGTCCGGGACTCAAACTGCAGTCAACTACTTGGGAATCCAGTAACATAGCCATTACGCCAACTGCTGGTCCCTACACAGGTCTTTATATAAACATAGCCAATGCTGCCCTATCCCTGCTGAGCCCCAGCCCCAGGACAGGCCAGGATGGGCTGCTTTGACACAGGTGCCTAGTGTGGCCCACCTGCCTGCTCCCTCAGAGGCCCCTGGAGAAAGCACTGCCCTCCGCTGGACTATAGGACAGGGACACTGCCACCACCTTGGTGTGCACCGGCCCCTCGCCCCCTTCCTCCAGGACAGGAAGAGGGAGGGGGAAGGACAGGGTGACAGGTGGGTCACCCAAACACCTCTAGACAACGTCTAGTCATGGTGGAATGGCAAGGCAACGACAATCTGAAAGGCTTGGTCCTTCTCCTCCGAGCCTGACCCCACATCCGACAAGGCACAGCCCAGTGGGGCATGTGAGCCCTCCTGTGGCCTGGCACATAGAGGCTCGGCCCCGGCAGCCCTCCAG